TGTCCCGAAGCAGCACAATATGATGTAAGGATTTCTTTGAGACACCCAGCATTTCTAGTATTGACCTTCATCAGGATTAATGAATCATCTGCAAACAATAGATTAGCGATGGTCGTGCTTCCCTACGCACCTTCACTCCCTCAAGCTCCCCCTCTTCCCCAGCGTTATTCAGCAAGCAATCAATCCTTCAGGACATAACAGAAACAAATAAGGCGACAATGGATCGCCTTATCTCAGGCCTCTAGACGTTTTAAAAGTTTCTGTTTCTTCCGAGTTTTGAGTTAAAACGTACATGGTGAAGGAGTAGGTATGAGCGGGTCGTCCAAGATCAATGGCACACATATCATTTAGGAAGGCTTTAATATTGGCATGGGCTATTATTTACTCCTCCTCCAGAAAGGTGTTAAGTATTTATTTTTATATTACAGATATTTTTCCTCCCATTTTACCCATGCATTTACAGATATTTTAGACCCTAAAACCGACGCTATAAAATCCTAATTTTTCAGAAAAAATCTGGGAGAAAGAATTATCGCGATCCACGAGACGGAGCCGCCGTCACCTCCTGTTCTTCATCGGGAGGCCAGATCTGGAGTCTGTTTGGGGCTCCGGAGAAGGGGATCTTCATTCTTCGTCATCACCAACCTTCCTCAATCGCCAATTCCATGATGCTCCCCACCGGGAGTGAGTAATTCCTTCGTAGGCTCGCTGGTCGGTGAGGAGTTGGATGAGATTCATCATGTAATCGAGTTAGTTTTGTTAGGGCCTGATCCCTATTATCCACTACGTTGTAAGATTGATGTTGCTATGACTTTGTCATGCTTAATGCTTTGTCACTTTGGGCCCGGATGCCATGATTTCAGATCTGAACCGTTTATATTATCACCATTATATCCATGTTCTAAATCCGATCTTGCAGATTATAGTCACCTACTACGTGTTATGATCCGGCAACTTCGGAGTGACAGAAACCGGGACTTCTCCGATGATGACCGTAGTTTGAGGAGTTCATGTATTCACCATGTGTTAATGCTTTGTTCCGATTCTCTATTAAAAGGAGGCTTTAATATCCCTTAGTTTCCAATATGGACCCTGCTATTATGGGAGGGTAGGACAAAAGATGTCATGCAAGTTCTTTCCATAAGCACGTATGACTACTTACGGAATACATGCCTATATTATATTGACGAACTGGAGCTAGTGCCGTATCGCTCTAAGTTATAATTGTCTCATGATGAATATCATCCAACAAGTCACCGATCCAATGCCTACAAATTTATCCTATATTGTTTTTGCTAAGTTACTACTACTATCATCACTGTTACACTTGCTACAAAATTACTGCTATCACTGTTGCCGTTACCGTTGCTGGTGCTACTATTATCAAAACTATCATACTACTTTGCTACCGATCACTCTGCTGTAGATAATTAATCTTCAGGTGTGGTTGAATTGACAACTCAGCTGCTAATACTTTCAAATTTTTTTGGCTCCCCTTGTGTCGAATCTATAAATTTGGGTTGAATACTCTACTCTCGAAAACTGTTGCCATCCCCTATACTTGTGG